TCCCCTGGGGAGTGATTTCTTACCCTGCTCCTCCATCTCTGTCTCTCTCCAGTGAATGCACACACCCTATAGGAAAAAAAAATCTGTCAGATGTTTCAAGAATGGATAAAACTCCTGCTTAGAAGAGATTAAACACTCAATAAATGTGAGGTTTTCCCCACAATGGGAGACACTTAGGAGAAATACAAAAAAGCTAATATTTAGTAGAAAAATCTTTCTCTTCCAAGAATCATGGATACTATAGGCTGCGGAAGAGAAAAGTACTTGACTGTTTTGTTTGACCCTTTACTATGGACAGAATATTCTCAGAGACATGAGGCATATTTTATTCACCAAGTTCTCTTCTCCTTTCAGAAGCCTCTATCCTCGCCCACTCTGGCTTTGGGAGGATGCTTATCTTATAAAAATCACCTGAACCAGAAAGTCCTATTGGAGCAATATTTACTGAACATTCAAGTGGACCAGACCATTTTTGCAGGAGAAAAAGGCAGTAACTTTATCCCACTGGCTGGTAAACCATCTCTAACCAAGTCTTTTCTTGATTGCTAAGATATTTATTAATCTCTACATCCAATATCTGATTATTGTTTTCTTCTCTCTCTGGACCATGAGAACTGACTCACTTGTTTGGTCGCCAAAAATAATGATGACAAACCCAAATTCTCATTTTTAAAGTAGGAGAGGCATCAGAGTGCACAGAAAACAGTGAACTGTGCACGCCAACAGGCAGACAATGCTTATTGGCCATGGTCAGCCCGCACACACTGGACATTCACTCCATGTGCAACCTTCTCACCCTGCTTTCTTTCCTGCCACTTTTGTGTAGCTGCCTACAGACCCAGAAAGAGGCCTGGTAAAGGTCAGACAGAGCTCAATGATGTGCTCATTAAGATCTTGGTTCTCCAAACAAGCATTGCCCCACATGTCCCTTGGATCTCCGATTTCATAATTTCCATGCAGTATGGGTTGGAAGTTCGTGACTGGTTGGAGTACTGATTGGCAAGAGCGTCTGTAGATGGCTACAGTTATATACCAGGATGTTGTCACGAGCTTCAAAGTGATAAAAGGAAGCTGCAAGAGACCTGTTGGTGACTCAGTGGTTAAGACAACTAGATCCCACATGGCTGTGCAGGTCAATCCCTGGACCCAGCAGCTTAAAAAACATGCTGGGCATGTGTGTGTGCACCCAAAATCCCAAGAGAAGAATGAAGGAGGAGAGAGAGCAGTGTGATTATCTCCCAAGGGGGTACTTTCTCACTTTTCCTTCTCTCTTCTTATCTCTGGTGAGCACATGTGCTCTGTAACAAGTTAAAAGAAAGAGAAAGAAAGAAATAGAGAGAGAGAGAGAGAGAGATCAAAAGAAAGAAAGCTGCAGGATACAAGAGCAGAAAATGAGTGCAAGACTCCTGGTCAGCAAGGTAAAATAAAGCTTTGTGCTAAATCTCCACGTTCTAAAGTATAAAAATTACTACATACAATAATTTTAGGTAAAATACAAACTAAGGTCCAACCAAGAAAGTGTGACCCTCAGGTAATCCAGAGACATTGAAACCTTGCAGTTCAATGCAGAGCAGGAGCTGACGCTCTCAGAGACAGGCTATAGATGAAGCTGTGGCCCCAAAGGGCCATAAACAGTAGGAAGAGGGATTCCTAAATAAACTAATACACCAGTAAAGATATACTAAGTCTATAGATAGGGAGGGAAAATGCCTTCCAGCCCCAGGGCAAAGCCTAGAAGTGAATTTTCCTTTCCTTTCACTTTTGTTTAGACTTCCTGTTGCTTCTTTCATCCTCCTCCTTCCTTCTGGATTCAATTTTCTTCCCACTGGGTTGTAGTCTACTAGGGTCTCTGATTATCATAGTTACTTACAAAATATTAGAACCTTAGACCTGCATTGAGCATAGATGATGAGCCTGAGTTCTAACTCTTCACACAGGGTGGAAACTCCAACCCATGAAATAAAGGTAAAAGCCAGCCAGGAATTGGGAGACCTCTGGTCGAGTCAATCTTGAAACCAGACAGTTGGAATCCTCCCAAACACAGGCACACCCACAACTCCTATGGCTGACTCCTGCCAAAAGTGTGCTCAGAGGCAAAAAACTATAAAATAAATTATATTAAGACTGTGTAAATACCTAGAGGATTCACCACCAAAGAGAAATTCTTGCTGAGAGAATCTCTGCAGGCTATAACCAGGAAGAAGAGAACTGAATCCAGATAGAAGCAGGAGGGATAGAAGAAGCAATAGAAGTGAAGGAAAAGGAAAAGAGTAAAGTAAGTTTGGTCCCTTATTGGCCAGACAGTTTACTAGCAAGTGAATGTTGGTTTGAAGGGAGATGGCTCCTAACAGGATAGGAAAATCCTGTTGGAAGAGGACAGAGCTATGTTTCCAGTGGTTTCTTCTCTCACCTTGGATAGCTGGCAGCCTTCTGTCTTTGGAGCCAGGAGCTGATCCCGGTTTCCCTGGCTACAAAGTCTGTTTACTTATAGCATCAAAGGTTAAGTGTGTTTGCTTGCACCCGAATGAGTATACAGAAGAGGAACGCCAGCTCTCCTCAACCAATGTGGCATTCCAATGTCTGGTCTGACCCACCCACCTGCTCTGCTAAATAGACCTCAGTATATCATTGTGTTTGGTGCATTAAGAAGCTTAGGGAAGTCAAGAGATTTTTTTCCTTGTTTTTCATTGCAATATGTGCTGACCTCAGTGTGGCCTCCTGTATAGCACGCGTGAGCTAGAGAAGGCAATGGTAGAAAAATCACATGATGTCAGCACTAACCTATGCATTTGGATGTGAACCTGTTAGAAAATTATAGCCTGTCACTCTCGAATGAGTGAGCTGAGATGGAAATGTCAATTTGAACAGACGCTTTTCCTTTCTTTTCTTTTTTTTCCCTTTCTTTCTTTTTCACTACAATTTTGGGAGGTGACACAAATATCATAAAGCATATGCCTAATGTATGAGTTTTAAATTCAATAGTGAAAGGAGAATGTAGGAGAAGAATGGGGAGTTACAAAGGGAATTTTACTGTTTATTGAGCAATAAATGTGGGCAATGCAAGAGGAATAACAAGGCCTGGAAAGATCAGCTCTTTTCCTTCATTCAGGCAAGATATGATGAAAATGACCAGGACTTGGATACAAAAGCAGCCTAGCAGGGACAAGAGAGAAAAGAAAATGGAGCAAGAGCAACATGTCTTTAGGAAGCACAGCCTGAGGCAACAATGTATCGGGGCTGCTAAAGATGCTCTGGGGATCTTGATAGCAGACACAAGTCTCAAACATGGGAGAAGAAACTATGTGACAACACATCTGCAGAGGGGACCATGGTACCAATAAAATTCTTTGGGGTCCTATGATATTAAGACTTGAGGGAAAGTAATTTCTGTGCTTTAAGCTTCCAAAAGTGAAGAAATCAGATTATATTAACAGCTTCTAGCAGGCAAAGCATAAGATGGCAAGGTTGTTTATTTTCTGAACATGTTCCTTTCCCTGTGATGGGCCCCAGGCATGTGGAGCAAAATATAAACACCAAGAGAGAGCACAGAAAATAAGCACTGTGTAAGGGTCCTTGATCCTTCCTGATTCAGGGTCAGGAGGTGGGGGGCCTAGGTCAGAGGTCACCGAGAACCTTAGAGGTTCTTTGCTATTTTCAGCTCAGGAGAGCACAAGGTTAGGGTCAAGTTTACAGAAAGGGATTATTAAAGGGATTTAGGGTGAGCTATATTGGGCACCCAGATAAAGGGCAGAGAGATTTCAAACCATTTTGACCTCCTTTTCTCTCCTTTTTTTCTCCTCTGGGCAGTGTTTCCACAGCTTCCAAGCATCCTATCTTAGCTTTTCTTTTATGTACTTTGACAGTCCAAAAATAATTTGAGTTGGAATCTTTCATCTTTCCCCTATTTGAAGTGAGCATGGGGTCAGACTTACATTAATAATAAAATAACAGCTTACATTTATGGAACACCCTCTAGAAACCAGGGATTAGTTTATTTACCCTACAATAATCTTTGAGGGAAATACTAACATTCCCCCATATCAGTTAGTCAGACTCACACTTATCAAGTTGTAGAGCAGAGATTGAACTCAGGATCCCAGAAATATAGGTGTAACCACACAACTCCAAAGTCACCCTGCAAAGTAGACTGCTAAACTGATCAGGAGGACAAGTATTACAGCTCTGTCTTTACGGGAAAAAAGACACAAGTGGATGATTAAATCTCTCAGTCGAACCTCTGAGATGAAATACTAATGAATTTGAAGGGAAGTTGCATTTCCAAGGTAACATTGTTCCTCTCTACCAATGGCATTTCCTATTGGGAATAGGGTATGATTTACCTAGGAAGCCGTGGCAAGTTTTTGAAAAAACTTAATAGAATTCATTTTTAGTACAGTTTTAGATTGACAGAAAAACTTAACAGATTGGTATAAAGTTCCATATATACACTCCACCCCCACTCCCCACCCTCAGCTCACCATTTCCCCTATTATTAACATCTTATATGAGTATGACATATTTGTTACAATTATTATACCAAAAGTTGACTTGCAATTGTGGTATATATGTGTATTTAGTTTTACTTTTTAACTTAATATGATACTTCAAATATTCTTCCACAAAATCTTTGTAACCTTCATGGTAAATGTGACTTAATGTTTTATTGAGAGGGTATCATAGTTGACGTAATCATTTTCTATTTGGATATTGTTGCAGATTGTAGATCGTTTCAAAGTTGTAGTTACCTCCTTAACGGATGTGGGATATCTATATGGATCCATGAAACATGGTAGTAGTCTCTAGTCTCTCTTTTAACACCTCCAAATTGCTTTTTAAACAAAATTATATTAATTTTCAATATTACCAGCCATATGTGAGCTACTCATTTTGCCATATCCTTGCCAGCAGTGGCCATACCTTCTGCCTATGCGTGTTTGGAGTCTCCTTGGTTTGTGACATATGACTTTGGAAACAAAGATATTTTTAGCTTTTCCATTCCCTTACCACTGGCAGAGTGATTTTCTCAGAAAAACTGGCATATCAAGCCAGATAACATTTCCAATTTATCGCTCCTGTAAAAGTGGCTGCGGGATAAGAACAAATACAGTCTGTGTTCAATCTATTCAATTAGAACAGAACAAGGAATTTATTTCAACACATACAAATCAGCAAATCCCATTCTGGTTGAATCCCATTTAGCATTTATGTAGGCTTAATTAAATCACTGAAGGGGCTTCTTACAAGGAGAATGGCCTTCAGGAAATATGTTTGCTAAATACTCTTCCTCAGTGCTTGGCGGGAAATAAATAAGTGACATCACTGGTTCTTTTTTTTTGAATCTATGATCAAATTATTTTTATTTATTTGTTTATTTATTTATTATCAGCATAATCTTGTTTATATTACATTGGATTGCATATAACATTCCAGTGTATTACATTGCTTTTTCAAAAGGGAATGTCATGCATGTCAGTCAATACAAAGACATTAATCTCCCACTTCATCATTCAA